ACACACACACACACACACACACACACACACACACACACACCAGTAGGGGATCCTACTATACTCTTCATATGTAGCTAGGCACATTCCTATGAGATAGGCTGCAATAAAACATATATAACTTCAAAATGAGACCACGATTCAGTTTTCTGCTACAAATTCACAAGGCTTTTCATGACGTTTTGGTGGCTTTTACATTTATCCTTATGGGCATCACTAGTCATCACCCTTTGCTACGTGGAAATGGCTTATCAAAAAGCAACTTTTGATAAAGGGAATTTCAGATAAGAGAATTTCCCCTGGTTCTTCTCTTTTGCATGCTTTGAGATTTACTTGCATTTCTAAATTAAAATGAACTTGAAAACAAAGCAACCACCTCGTCTCCATTAGCTGTTATCTTTAAGTTACAAAAGCACAGCATACTAGGGTAAGGGATTATATTCAAATCATTGTATCTGAGATGAGAGGAAGATGTCATCTGTGTTTTATCAATAGCCATAAATAGATTGATTATTTATTTATCTATTTGCACTGGGGATTGAACCCCGAATGCTGAACCACTGAGCCACATCCCCAGCCCTTTTGTACTTTTTATTTAGTGACAGGGTCTCACTAAGTTGCTTAGGGCCTCGCTGAGTTGATGAGGTTGGCTTTGAACTTGTGGTCCTTGTGCCTCAGCCTCCTTAGCTGCAGGAGTACAGGTGTGTGCCCAGCAAATGAACTTAAAAGCAACAACAATGGCAAAACCCAAAGCCAGTTTTCTTGGGTGACCTAAGGGTCGTGGTTGTGGAAAGGGGATTCTCTCATTGGCCTCGGTCAACAGCAGTAGAACCTAAGGTTGCCTCTTAACCCCTTGCAACACCAGAAAAGGTAAGTGGGGCACTGGACAGGAAGAAGAGGTGGTGTTTACGGGAGGAAAGAAATAAGCCTTGCCCTCTGAAGGGAATTTCCCCAAGCTTTTGCCATGAAACTTTATCGTGAGTTGTAGTGTCAAGGGGTGGGGGACAGGAAATACTGATGTTTTCTTGTCAAGGATAGAGAAGTTCCCTCTATTCTAGGTCAAGGGATTGTAGAGGTACATAAAAAAGGGGTCTAGATTTTGCAGAGCAGCCCGATGCTTAGGACAGAAACAACGGAACCGTGCGTTTTCTTCCAGTACGACTGGCTTTTGATCTTGGAGATGTCAGTGGAAAAATAGCCAACTGCCATTTCCCCTCATTGGCCCAACTCCGGGCAGACCCCGGGTGCCTCTTGCCTCCTTCTGCAGGTGGTTCCTCCTCACTGCCAGGGGAAACCTCAGCTGCCCTTTTCTCCAACTCACACAGAAGAGCCAGTTGTTGTGATTCAGATGATTTAAAGTCCTTCCTCCTGCCCCTTTTGACATTTATCTTAATCAGCCACATTAATCTCTCAAATACTCTCAAAGGTTATTGGTTTTTTTTTTTTTTTTTGCAGTTACAGCATTTGATGCCACCTGAATATCACAGACCTTGTAGTCATAGCCAACCCAGAGTTCCCCATCATCACTGGGGGATGTTTTATTAAGAATGTATGCTGCTGGCTGCCCTGCAGAACAACAGAGCCCAACTTTTTTCTTTTTTTTTTTTTGGTGAAGCCCTAGGATTTACATATTTAATAAATGTGCCAGTTGTCTCCTATGTACATTCAAATTTGAGATCCTTAGCTCTCACAAATCAGACATTCCTGTTTTTAATTAGTAAATGCCCATCAATATGCACATGAACCTCAATTAGCATAATGATAAATCTGGGCAACATTTATTGAGCACTTATTAACTGGGCATTATGCTTACAGGGGCTTAACCCCGAAAGGGCTTATAGGGGTTTCTCATTTAATAGGCATGATAAAAATGTTCAGGAGAAATGATTCAAACTTTTGTACTTTGAATCATATTTTAAATGCATAGGAATTATTGATACAGAGAAACTTTATAGTGAATTTTTTTTAATAAAGAAAATAAGTTGCTTTTGTGCATATACTATTTATTTGTATTTGTAGACCACAGTTCCACTATTGGTTCAGCCTTTTGTCCTAAGCCCCCCTTTTTTTTTTGTGGGATTAGGGGTGAGGGTAGAGGGTAAGACAAGGAAGATAAACTGTGGGTTCTGTGACTTTTTTTTTCTTTCTGTTTATTTAAAATTTTGGCAAAAAAAGAAAAAAAAAGGCAAGTGGGTCAATGAACTCCTATGATCCTTGGAAGAGATAGGCATGCTACCAAAAATGTGGCTCGGGAAGAGCGTGCTGTTATGGACAGAGGTTTTTGGTTCTTTATGGATTTCCCTCTTTGTGATGTTTTCAGTTCCTAATGAGTGCTGAAAATTGCGGGTTAATTAGAGAACAATGAATTTCCCAATCAGCCATCAATATTGTGCCTGCATTTGGAATATATGAAGATCTGTGTTTTGGGATAAATGAGCACCTTCAAGGTCCAGCAGGACACATCTTTCCTGACTCAGCACATCATATCAGTCAACACGATTGGAGTGCACACATTACCCACTCTCATGAGCACAAAAGACTGACAGGTGTTTTTCTTTCTTTCCAAAAAGAAAGTACTATAAAATCCTAGTATGGATAAATACACTATGACATTATCTTAATCAGCCACATTAATCTCTCAAATACTCTCAAAGGTTATTGGGTTTTTTTTTTTTTTTTTTTTTTCAGCATTTGATGCCACCTGAATATCACAGACCTTGTAGTCATAGCCAACCCAGAGTTCACCATCATCACTGGGGGATTCCAGAGAGACAGTCCTAGGCATAGAATGGAGAGAGAACCTGGTAGGGTGGGCAGTGGGGACAAGAAGCAATGGTTTGCTCACTCTGTGCCTTGGATGAGTAGTTTTTATCTTGGAAATGCATGAAAGCCAGGCCAGTTGACTAGACATCTGTTTCTTTGCCCACAGTTTTCTTCGTCCGACTCCAGGTTCTGAAAGATGAAACTTGCCTTATCTTGACACAGGACCTGGCATGTTTTGGATGGGCCACAGGAAGACAGTATTAAAGACCACTTGTTTCTTATTCTGAATTTCAGTCTTATGTGTTCGAACCCCTGGGCTGCTGCTCATAAAGAAAAGATGACGCCGTGTCTCACTTTCCATTTAGGCTGATCTGGACATTTTCTAGACTTCCTTCCTCTCCTGCCCTGAGCCTCTCTTGCAGTCACCCCCAGCTTGGCTTTGCCTTCACTTTTGCTTTAGATCTGTTATTTGGTGGTGATCACTCATACACACACACACACATACACACAGCCTCCTTGACCTAAGTTTTCCTTCTTTTCGCAGGGACAGAAGATGGACCTTCATTAAAAGGGACGGAAACAAAGTTTGTTTTGGTGTTTAACTTTTTCACTACAGGTGACCCCAGAGGAGTTCATGAATTATTATGCAGGTGTGAGCGCATCCATTGACACTGATGTGTACTTCATCGTCATGATGAGAACCGCCTGGAAGCTCTAAGTGCATGATTTGGGGACCAGGCCTTGGGGACAGCCACGTGACTCTAAATGATTAACCTCAGCTCAAAAATGTGGATCATTTTTGATTTCATGTTCCTTCCAGTGCTTCTTCCTTGTCAACATACTGCATTTCCTAGGGGTAAGAAAAGGGCAGAAATAAAGAGTCTCAGTAGTTAACTGTGAGCTTGCCTCCTCTGAATCTATTTCCTTAGCTCTAAAATAGGGATCAAATAGAACCACAACTGTGTAGTTCCTAGTGCTGCAGCCAACGTGTGCAACTAATTAACATTGCTTTTCTTTCTTGGCTATTAATGAAAGTTTGAATACTTTAACTATAACCACACCTCCTACCCACTCTCTTTCTTCACCTCCTTTTAGATGGACCACTTCTAGGTGGGGAAATACTTGTATTTTTATGACCTGTAAATCTTCAGTGCTTCAGTCTCAATTGGGGACCAGAAAGATTGACCACATGTTAGCCTCAAGTTCTGCAACTGAATCTTGAGTTTCCTACTCAGGGCTTAGAGGAGACTTGGTTTGTCAAATAGATTGAAACAGCTTTTCTTCCCATCATTTTAAAGACTTTTGTGAGAGCAGAGGCCATTTCTTTGAGCACTAGGCCCACAACGACTGTTCAACATACTCTTGTGGTTGTTTTTCTTTTCTTTCTTTCCTTTTCTTTCTTTCTTTTTTCTTTTCTTTTCTTTTTTTTTTTTTGTAGTCAGGGTTTAAACCCAGGGGTGCTTAACCACTGGACCACATCTCCAGCCCTTTTTTATATTTTATATTGAACTTGCCAAATTGCTGAAGCTGGCTTTAAACTTGTGATCCTCCTGCCTCAGCCTCCCAAATTACTGGGACTACAGGTGTGCGTGAGTGCATTTGGCACTGTGATTGTTTTAAGGCTGGGCTGTGCTCTCAGATTTTATGTGGAACATCTTTCCTTGAGATACCAGTTGACCTTCACCTGGTGCAATCTTTATCTTTCCCCTCCCTGCTCTTGGCGCTTAATGTTGAAGCTTCCTTGAACACTAAGAGGTTGGGTGTGACATGGTCTGGGATCATTGGCATAATCCAGAGCAGATTTTTCATCATGGCACTTCTTTGCTCAGAGCCTCCTCCTCCCAGCTCTGAGCTTTGGTTTCATAGTGTGGATGTGTGAGATCTTCCCATGAAGGGCAGTGCCAGCTGCTGGAAAATACAATGGAAATCACAGCTCTTTCTCTGCATGTTCTGTGTCTGGGGATAAAACAGCAAGTGACCTCAGGTCATGGTCCTGGAGGTAATGACCCCTTACCTTTTTTGCTCAGGAGAGCCTCTCAACTTGCCACCTCTGTGCCTGGCTGTACTCGTCTCCTGGTCTGGGGACATAGATTGGGTTAATGGTCTCCTTTAAGATCTTATATATTTTCGAGCTGGGGATATAGCTCAGTGGCAGAGTGCTTGCCTCGCATATGTGATGCACTGGGTTGAATCCTCAGCATCACGTAATAAATAAATAAAATAATAAAAAAGATTTTATGTATTTTAGTGGCTCTGGGTTGAGGGTCTGGACACTTGCCATGTTCTAATTCATATATTTACTTTTTATTTCACAGACTTGGAAGCTGAGCTCAGGATACACATTGATTTGAGAATTGTGAAAACAGGTGCTGCTAGATGAGAACTATAGCAGTCATTTAATAGGGCACCTTTGTTTCTTGCTGGAAAGCTCAACTTTGTTCTATTGGCAGACCAGAAGAAGAACCTTTGTGTTGAGGTTGGGTAAAATGTAGGAAGCTTTCTTTATTAATTAAATACACAAGTCTGACTTTTCGATGGATGTATTTGTCTAGATTTATTTAGAGGTAGGTGGCCAAAAATACCAAGAGTTATGAAGAGATATGTAGAAATCATGTAGGAATCCAAAAGAAATTGTGAAGACATGTACAGAAAGAATATATCCATGTTTCTTGTAGCCGGTACCTGCAGATGTGGCTAAGGAGAGGTCCCCTGTTTCCTGGGCATGATGGGTTTCAAGTCTACTGTTCTAGATAGATTTGTGTTTTGATTCTGGGTATGAGTCATATCAGGTTTAACTGGGGCTCTGGAGTGAGCAGGGCTTGGGTTGTAGTATCAGCTTCGTCTCCAACAGTGGTATTTTGCTTCCTGTCTAATGGGGGCACAGGACACAGCTATCTGATTTCAGATAACTTGTGCCTCACAGTGTATTTGGTCACATTCAGTTGCCTTTCTTCTAGTCATTTGGGTTCTGGGGCCACCAAGTCTCTCTTTCCCTCTGGAAGCAACATCTCCTAAGAACCTATCAGGCCAGGGATCACCCCACTCTTATGCTTAATCCAGTCTGTGATTTCCGGCATAGGCAGGGATAGTGCATTGTTTACCTGTACTCATTCCAGTAGCCTCTACTCTATTCCATTCAAGGACTAGAGAAAGAGTTATTTGAAAAATATTTATTAACATTTTTCTGAATATATTTTCTGTTTGACTTCCACATTTGAAAACTTCTTTCATTTGCAATTGAAAAGTAACTGCTTGAGTGAGAAGATTAAACACCACAAAATATCTCTAAAATATCCCTCAGAAGTACCTCATTTTTTGGGCCAGGACCCCCACATAGGAAATTAAACAAATAAGCAAAGACTAGAAGATGGGGTAAGCAGATTTTTATGACACAGGACTGAGATACGTAATCATTCTTCAAGTCTGGATTTCTCAAATAAGCCACCCAGCATAAAACTGCATCTGGGAATTCAACTTCTCCAGAGGCTGACCTATGTCAGAAGAGCAAGAGGCCCAGCCCCTCACAAGAGTTGGGGTACGTTATATCAAGTGCAGATGAGAAACCCAAGATGTGTTGAATTTCAGACTGAGGCAGGACTCTGGGGGGCTGGTTTTCACCACCATATTAACTTTGACAGGGTCTTCCAGGCCTGATGGCGCTCCACAGGATGATGCGCTTGCTGTGTGTGGTTTTGAAGAGGCATGAAGTCATATTTCATACCCTAAGAGTTGGGTGCCTTCCACGTAGGTTGCAGATTGACTTGGCATGTATCCTGATTTAAGGGCGGAAATATATTCCATCAATAAATATTTTATGGTACCACATGATCATTCCTAGGTTGTGAGAACAGAGTAGTGGACTACAGTAAATACAAGCAAAACCAATGGTTCCACACCAAACTAACAACCTACTGTTGCTAAGAGATTAAAGAAAGGAGAGAGAAGATGAAGCATGGGCCCCTAAGTGCCCCTTGCACAGTCCCATCCAGCCTCTAAAACCAGGAAAGTTGGGGCTCTTCACATGGTACTGGGTTGGGGAACTATGTAGTAAGTTTGATGAACATAGTTTATCAAGATGATGCAGGCATAATCCCCTCCTATTCTTGGAGGCAGATAATTGTCTAATCCCCTTAATTCTCTTGGCCAATATAGATTGCCTCACAGAACCAAGACAGTACAGGTAAGCAGGAGTTCCACGCTCACGAAGCTGCCCCACAGAGGCAGTTAGATATGTTGATTTTTAATCAAGTGGAGAGTTTAATCAAATGTATTTTTGGGTGGTGTTTGTGAGTGCCCTTCTACTCCTGCTTTATGAAATTCTGCTAACACCCTCTGAGTAGTATACACTCTGGATTCATGTATATCTCTTTGGGTGTAGAATGCAAAATCTTACATCTTCCAATTTTCCAAATTGTTCAACAAACTTGTTGACTGTTATTTTGAATTAAGAACTGGTTGAATGAAGCAACAAAATTTTAACTCTTAGAAATGCTTGACTCAGAGTAGAATCAAAGTTGTCAAGGGTCAGAGAGATTGTCACATCATGTGATTGATTTTCATATAATTGATTCTTTTGACAGTCAGTGTTTCTCAGCCTGGTTTTACTCCTCCAACTTACTTATATGAAAACTACATACTCTTGATAGAAATAGTTATTTTATTCTAATAGAAAAAAAAGTCCACTATTAAGGCCTAAAAGTACTTCTTCTAAAACTGATGATGGGTAAAATCTGTTAGAAGAAATATAAACAAATGATTGATAGTGCTTCTGAGAATACTGCTGTGTGAGAAGAATTCTTTTTGCTGTCTCGGTTGGTGTGGTGAGGCTGTGGTGAAACAGCCCTTCCTCTCTGAGAATAGCATGACCTTCTTGTTCAATTCTCACACCTACTTCAC